CGAGCAGAGAACAAATACTGTATTTCCCACATTGACTTAAAACAGCTGGAGATGAATTAATGCTTCATCCCTGCGAAGGCAAAACTTGTCCCACTATTGCCTCAAAAATATAGACTTTTGGGAGCCGTTAGGCAGCCAGGGTGGAGAGCTGTGGTGAAATGACAGCCAGTGAACAAACCAGTTATCTGAACTTTGAAAACTTTGAAATTTAACTTCATGTCATTATGTCTCCAATATTAAAAAAGAAATTTTTGAATAACAGAGCCAGTTCAACTGACATTACCGATTTCCTCTGAAAAGACCATGCCCTAAAAGCAGCACCGGCCACAAAACAGTTAAACATTAGCAAAAATATTAACCAGCAAGATGACTAATAAATCAAACTTCGTCATGTAAAGCATTGAAGGAAAATAAGCTTGCGAGATTAAAAGATCAGTCGACATAAGAACTGTCTGAATAAACTGCAGCTGGCTCTTTCAAAAGTTTAAGCTTGTCATAAATTCAGCAGCCACACCTTATAGCCACATTTACTATTTCACAACCAGGTACCCATAAAAAGACTGTCTAAATATAACGTAACATAAAAAAAATCCTGTGTTGTGTTGATTTTACACCTCTAACTCTTGTTGGTGTATACTTTATGTGGAGTGGGTGTAGTCTTCTTAGTGCAATGCCATCAACAGCAATGCAGCAGCTGCTGTTGGGAAGCAGGTGTAATCAGAGTTTTATCAGTTTTTAGAGGCCAGAGTACATTGGTACTGTAGTTTTGTCTTATGGACACAGAGATGTGCCCATTCAGTTTGCATAATAACTACTCTCTGACATTTAATGTGTAAAAGTTGGCAAGTTAGTGCTAACAGTTGTTAGTAATTGCATGCTTTTTCTGCTACAACCATAGACTTAGGGCTGCATGATTAATCTTTTTGTGAGCATTATTTAGATCCCTGTGGGATCTCAATCTCACATGACAGTGATTCTGCATTAGCAGTGAGATGCCTTGTATCAAACCAAGCATTCCCATTTCCTCACTAAGCTGTGTTAACCAATAGCAGGCATGCATTACATCACGTGACAAGCTATAGCCAGAAAGAGAGACCGATTTAAAAACAAATCCAACATGTTTGACATTGCCGCCTGGTGCTGTCACTCCCCTTCTTAACACTACTGCGCAGAATCTGACTGTAAATGGCAGCTGTTATATTCACAAAATATTGGCTTCACTTTTGTATAGTCGAAGTAAGCGATGATGCATTGTCCATCTTCTACAATCTATAGCTACAACATACAGACCTGCTTTGTTGTAAATATGTCTGTTTTGGGGAAGAAAAAAAAAATCAGCACTAAGAGAAATGGGGGCATGAAAACACCCCATCTGTGCATCTACTACACCAGTCTGTGTTGTTTGTCTTGTCGAACAAAAAGAGCAAATCAGTTTGCATATAGCCATGCACACCTGTATGTCTAGGACTTTGGAAGAAAAAAGTAAACCCATGCCCACTTTCATTTATGACATTTTACAGTATTTCGTTGATGTCTAGCCCAAATATCAGCATATTTGTTCCAAAGTCTATTAATTGTATAAAACAATGAAAAGAAGCAAATGTCTTTCATTAAAAGAATAATCACTTGTTGAGTTTTGAAAATAAAATGGTACAATGGTGTCTCAAAGGCACAAATCCTTCAGTGGTACAATTGGTTTCAGACTGAGTACTCTATGATATCCTGAAGCAGTGAAACAAAGCTTTTATGAACAGGAGGAGGCTACGAATACATGTGGGAAATAGAGTGGTGTCAAATGCTACAGGGCTTTGACTCCTCAGACTTAATAGTTGAAGAATCAAGCACACAATTGTTAAAAAGCAGCTGAAGAGTTTCGTTGCAGTGTGAAACCTCCCACAGAAGCATCTGAGCCTTCAAGAGCAATTGAGTTATTTGATGCTGCGAGTCGAGAAATTAATGAAATTAGATAACCACAAGAAACAAAGAAACACTTTTGTTGAACTAGATATAATAATATTTCTGAAAAAATGTCACATTTTAACACAGACTCACTGGTAGTAATTGTTTTTCCATAGTGGTGCTTTTGAAGCAACCTGTTAATTTTTACTTTCCACACAGCAGCTCTAACCAACGACACCCAACCTGCCAACCGAACTCTACAAGAAGACATCAAAGTTGAACTCGCAGTCCAGACCTCCACTTGAAAATGATTGACAAGGACCAGGTTTCTGGCTGCCGGTTCTAGACATGTTTTCCTCTCCCAGTTTGTTTTACCAAGTCCCATTTTTCTTTAAACAATTCCATCGGTGATACTTAAAGGTAGGGTGAGTGATTCTGGAAAAACCAGTAAGAGGAAGCTCGACTTTGAGAGTAGACAACCAAAGAAATCCCATGCGCACTGCCTGAATACTACTTACAGATTTCAGGAAATAACAAATGACCCCCAAACAAAACAAAAGCGATAGTGACCTGTCCAGCAGAAATATGGCCGCCATGGCGTCAATTTTTACCCCCTTTGTTCTCTCAGCTGTCACCATCATTCAGAAGCCACACCGATGTTAATTACTTCTTGCAGCATCCAACTTTTTCTTAGTTGTAACTAGGGCTGGGCGATTCTTTCGATTTTTTCGATTAATTCGAATTTACGTTTTAAGGCGATTTTTTTTTTCTTAAATCGAGGTATCGCGATTTTTAATTATAATAAAAAATAGATACATTGTCATTGCACCAATGGCAGAATAATTAAAAGGCAATATTGTCCGACCACATGATGGCGCGCCTAATTAACCGCTTACGTGTGAGAGCACTCTATGAAGGAACGTAATAGGCTATAGAAAAACATCATGGAGATGGGTGGCTCTTCACATCAAGATCACCTTGTGCCAAAAAAAGGTACTAGTAACGTTTCCTCTGTGGTTTGGAAATGGTTAGGCTTTGAGAGGTAAGACGTCAAACAAACTTTTGTCAAATGCAAAATATGTCGAAAGTCCGTTGCAACCGGCAGTGGCAGCACCACTAATTTATTCCAACATTTGCGACAAAGACACCAAGTAGAATGGGAAGAATGCTCAAAGTTAAGAAAAGAAAACAAGCC